CTATATCCCCGGTCTATGCATTTCCCCAGACCTCGCCAGACTATGCTAATCTCTTTTCTCAGTATCCCAAGCTCGTTCAGCCCATTAACGCAGCTTTGCCCGTGGCAGCTCAAGCCACGCACCACCTACGGACGAATGGCTCACCTGTGTCATGCCGTCCACGTCGACTATCGCCCGAGAAACTAAAGGTAGCTAGGGCGGAGTTTGAGCACATGCTTGAACTTGTAATAATCCGCCCTTCCGATAGCCCTTGGTCCTCGCCCCTGCAGATGGTCCCCAAGAAATCTGGTGACTGGCGCCCTTGCGGTGAATACCGCGCACTCAATCGCCTAACCGTCCCAGATAGGTATCCCATCCCACACATGCAGGACCTTACCGCATGCCTCACAGGTAAGACAATCTTCAGCAAGATCGATCTGGTTCGTGCCTATCACCAGGTACCTGTGGAAGACAATGACATTCCTAAAACAGCCGTCATCACTCCTTTCGGTTTGTAAGAACTTTTAAGAATGCCATTTGGACTGTGCAAGGCCGCACAAACCTTCCAAGTCTTCATCCACGATGTTACTCGTGGTCTGGACTTCGTCTACTCCTACCTCGATGATATTTTAGTAGCCAGTTCATCGGAACAAGAACACCTCGAGCATCTTCGAACTCTCTTCCAGCGCTTGACCCAACTCAGTGTCACAGTCAACCCGACTAAGTGCGAATTCGGCAAATCGACGGTAGAATTCCTAGGCCACCTCGTTTCATCGTCTGGTATCGAAGTCCTTCCTGACAAGATCCAGGCAATCAAGGACTTCTCAGCTCCGACTTCGTTCAAGCGCCTCCGTCGATTTTGTGGTTTGGTCAACTACTATCGACGCTTCATTCCGCGCTGCGCTCAACTTATGCAGCCACTGACTGTCCTACTCAGAGGAAATGAACGTACGTTCGCTTTCTCTGAAACAGCACAGGCAGCCTTCGCCGAGCTCAAGGATGCTATCTCCAACATAGCCCTCCTCGCTCATTCGGAATCCACTGCACCTCTTTCTATTACGACTGATGCCTCAGACGTCGCGGTAGGAGCCGTCCTCCAACAACACGTTGGTGGGCAATGGCAACCCCTTGGGTTCTTCTCCAAGCGCCTGCAGCCAGCGGAATCCCGCTACAGCACGTTTGGCAGAGAACTGCTCGCCATTTACCTAGCAATACGTCACGTCCGGCACACATCTGAAAGTCGCGCTTTCACGGTCTACACTGACCTCAAGCCCCTTATATTTGCCTTCAACTCTACTAACGACAAATAGTCACCACGGGAACAAGACATCTAGACTTTGTCACGCAGTTCACTGCTGACAAACGTCATGTCTCAGGTGTCGACAATCCCGTCGCCGACGCTCCCTCACGCGTCAACCTCACTCTCCAGCCCTTGCCTACCGTCGACCTTGCCGCCATGGCGTCGGCTCAAGCTCAAGACGAAGACATACAGCGCACTCTGAGGTCCACTTCGCTGCATGTGCAACCAGTTCCTTTCCAAACCACGGAAGGAACCATCCTCTATGACACTTCTACAGTTTGTCCTAGACCTAGACGCACGGTCTTTGACGCATCTTCCATATCTGCGATTCGCAAGACCACTTCTTTGAAACTGGCCCTGATATAGCTTGAGGACGCCCACGATGTAGTGCAAGACATCTAAGCACCTTCAGCTCAAAACTCATCCACATTCATTGTGGTTACCGTTCTAGCACCTAAGAGACTTTAACGGTATCCGTCGCACCCATTTTCAGTGGTTTAAGAATAGCAAACTGAATACAAGTTGATCTTATTCTTCACCGACCTCTTCCTTCAATCCTTGTTTCTTATCTACATCTTCATCCCTTCTCTTCAGACTTTTATCACTTTTCAACTTCTTGACCACTGGACCCGTGGAAAAAGTATTAGGCTTATGACTTCTATGGTACCTTTAGTAAAGGCATGCTACCAGACCTAAGCCTTGCATAGAATGTTGAAAACGTTTTCTGCTGCGGATGCACCTAAGCGTAGCATTAGAATTGTCCAAAATCGTCTAAATGCCGGCTTTAAACGAACCTTTATGTGTCTTCCTAGATGTCGGTTGCCAGCGGGCCCTAATTGAAGCTTTTTCATTAAGTCTGAGCACTAGTTACTATACTCAGCAGTTTCCAAAAACTATCAGTAGGTACACAGCAAAATAAAAAATATATTTTTCTTATTGTTGACAAAGAGCGCACTTTAAAAGTTCTAGGCCCAAGAATCAGACATTTTGCTCTCCACTTCCTCTCTCTTGACCCCATATGCTTAGCTTTATCTGGTATACATGTGCCATTCGCTATTGGCAACACTAGTAGACAGGCATAATGAAAACCAGATCCTCTTCTTTAACTGCTTCTGCTCGTAAAACACTCGCATTTTCAGATTTCATTTCACTGGCACCAAAGCTAACCAACGACAGAGAGGCCCCTGTCACACTGGCTGGCTGGAGCACCAGAAACTTTCCATCACCACTTTTCTTCTCCTGGCCGCCAGTGTGTCATTTATCTTTTAGCTGTATCCAAAGCCTACCATGCGTTTTGCGTAATGGCCGGTGAACGACCAGCTCCCAATGGTTTTTGTTACTATTTTACTCCTGATTTACCTTATCGCTTTTTGCCTAGGGTGCTAGAACAGCTCTTGCCAGGAAAATCACAAAAGCAATAGTCGGTGTGGCATTAGAGTACCAGTTAACCTTGCCATCTGCATGAACACCGCCGGCACTATCTTCGGAACTTAAAAATGGAGAGAAATAAATCGAAATTCATCAAACAGCTGCACAATAGTGTGCATCTACACATAAGGCATAACAATACCTCAAGTATGAGCAAGCTCAACCACCAGAAGTAGAGTTGTTAAAGCCCAACCAATGTAGACAAAAACGGATTCCACGCCCAAATGCAATTAGCTAAATTGTACTAAATTTTCCCATGCTTATTTCTTTATTATTAGTGACAGGCTTCTATAGCTCACTGATGTTAGAGACAGAGCCTCACTAATATAGAAAATCGGCTCTAAGGGGTAAATCTTGTGATGTTTAGCTAAGTAATGTGTGTATTTTGCAGGCCGAAATCTGTCAACGGATCTGAAAGATCCCCTGAGTTACTCAGGTAGATCTGGCTCATGCTGCCTTGTTGTAAGCTTTAGAAAAACTTAGAGGCTTAAAAATGCTAAACTCTATTTTACTGGTTGTTTATGTGGCACAGTATCCCTTGAAAATGGTATGCTCTGGCCTTCTAACCGTGAGTTATTTACGAGCTCTCCTGAATTCCCTTGCAGATATAATATTCCTTGCTGGATTTCTAGCGTTTTCGCGTAAGCTCATCACTTATTTGCATACATTTTTCATGCTTGCCTGCAAAGTTTACTTTTCGACCACCTGCGCAGTCCGTAGCTGTCGCAGGGTATAACGGGCTATTTAGAGCATTTCTGGATAGCTATGCCTATCTAGAACACACACCGCTTCCCTACTTTTTATATTTTCTTTTCTTTTTTCTGCTATCTGCCTGCAAAGCAGAAAGCCATTTTTAGGGAAAAATAACTATGACCTTATTCGTAGACTATTGTCTAATGGCAAATAACTCGCAAACTACTGCACGCATGGTGTTGCTTTTACGTTCATCGTATTCAGGCGCTAAAGCTGGTCCAGACCAGTTTAATTTTATGCTACTTTAAGCGGTGTTCTAACTGTAAAAAGGCTGTTCCTTTTATCTGAGAATAACTCAGGTTGAAATTTTGCGCCGGAGAGCAATATTAGCGTAATAAAAGTAGGGCTATATATTTTTGGTGATTGGTATTTTTCTACTGAATCACGCAGATTTATTTTCTCTCTCAACAAAATGCTTCTATTTATGTCTGCATTTACCGGAATTGTTTTTAACTTTTCGGATGCCTTATAATCCCTTCATTCATTTCTTTCATGTGCGCAACAACAATTGGGGCAACTGTGTTGCCAAATAATGTGCGATCAATTTAAAGTGAACTTGTGGCAAATTGGATTCTGTTCCAAGGAGAAAAAGCACAACTACACCTCCGCGAAATGTTCACAATAAAAGACAAGGAGCTCAATATCGCCCGAAGGAACCAGAAAAATGTCAAGGTGGGCGCCTGCGACCCAGTAGCTGTATACTAAACAGTGCCAATGCATTTGCAATTGCTAACGAAGAACATATACGTATATTTTGCCAACTTCCATGCAAGAGCATCGGATGCATGTAAGCATTGATCTGCACCCTTTAGGGTGCAGCCACTAGCAGGTCTATAAATATACCTATTTATTTATTTATTTACACTCGCTGTCATATCCCGGTATCCGTGCATCTTTGAAACTGGTCACCGAACGTTTCGTTTGGCCACGCGTAAATAAAAATGATTGTACCTGGGCTCGCGCCTGCCTTCAATGCCAGCGCTCCAAAATACATCGTCACACCCGCAGTCTCCTTGGTTCATTTCCTGCCCCAGACTCTCGGTTCTCGCATGTACACTTAGACCTGGTAGGCCCATTGCCTCCGTCACGCGGATTCGTAGACATTCTTACATGTGTCGACTGCTTCACCAAATGGCCAGCAGCCATTCCGATAACAGACTGCACAGCGGAGACTGTTATCCGCGCCTTCTTGGACCGATGGGTCTCGCACTACGGATGCCCATCCACCATCACAGCCGACCGAAGAACGCCTTTCGAATCTTCACAATTCGATACGTTCTGCAACTTTTTAGGCTGCCTCCGCATTCATACCACAGCCTATCACCCAGCAGCCAACGGGCTAGTTGAACGTTTCCATAGACAGCCTAAAGCCTCGCTCTGCGCCTCCTCCGACCCCAGCTGGAGCGAAAACATTTCGCTCGTACTCTTAGGCATTTGCAGCAGCATCAAAGCCGACTTGCAATGTGCACCAGCAGAGCTGGTTTACGGCACGACGCTAAAGTTACCAAGAGAATTCGTTTCACCTTCCGCATCGTCGGGTATGCTTTCTCCTAACTTTGCGTCCGCGCTGGCTCAGCGCATGCGTTCACTACGCCCGACCCCGCCTAGTGAACAGATTAGAGATGTGCAAATGCACAGCGGACTCTCTACCTGCACTCACGTCTTCCTCCGCACCGACGCAGTGCGGCGCCCTCTCCAGCCTACCTACACTGGCCCTTTCAGAGTTCTGCAACGGACTCCGAAACACTTTACTTTAGACCAGAATGGTCACCGAACAACGGTGTCCATCGACCGCCTCAAAGTGGCATTCTTTGACGAGCCACTTGCAGCCCATCCTGGCGCTCTCGCACAAGCACCCGCACCTGTGGTGACTTCCCGAGCGCTGGATAACTTGGAACCCTCCGTACCCCTTGACCCGCAACCTATCCCGCCTCAGCCCCAGGCAACCGATCGACGCGGTAGACAGGTCAAATGTCCGGTCCGTTTTTCAGATTTTGTAAGCGTTTGTTTTTCCATTAACACGCCTTTTCGTCTTAAATGGTTTTCCTGCGTCTCACCCACAAAATCGAAAAAAAAACCCAAAACATTTTGAAAACCTAAAAAGCGTATTTGCTTTTATCATACATGCGATGTTCCCTCTCCGGCGTCAAGCCACTTCCCGACTCTTGCCAACCCCTCTGTGTTTTACTTCCAGAAACTCAACCGCCGGAACTGCCCAGGCAACCCCCGAGTGACTCGCCAACCGGCTCAACGCAACCCTGGAGTGACTCGCCAGCCGTCCTCACCCAAGGAACAGACGCCCACGAACGAATTGGCCCCCAAACGCCGCTTAGGCATTGCCGACGAGGACGCCGGATTTCTTCGTGGGACGAGGACCGTGGACTAAAGTGCGGTGGGGGGAGTGACACCTCCCAAGCGCACCGTCGGGTCTGCAGCAATGGGAAGGTCCTGTCGGCCATTTTTCTGGACTAGCCAGTTTTTTGCAGTCCGACCAGCCCGCCCCGACGGTCCACCGATGATGCACTCTGGTCCACACGATCGTCATAAATAAAACTAACAAAAGCCTGGACCCAGCGAAATCTGCTACACCCCACTTTGGAAGCCCTTCTCAAGCCCCTGCAAACATTCGCATCCACCCTCACCTTCCCTTCCCCCCACTAACAGCTCCATCGAAGGCGTCCATCCTTCAGCCTTCTAGGTGGAGGCCCTTGTAGTGCAACAAAAAACATGCTCTTTCAGTATCTTGTAACATTGGATTTTATGGTTGTTTTAACCTTCGAAACTTCCATTTGTTTAACTGACTGCACATCCGTTGTCACCATCCGTTTTGGTGAGTACCTTGCTGCACGTTTCTCGTTCTGTCTGATTCGCTTCCTATTCTTGTAGCGTGTACAATATATGTTGGGTTCAGTCGCCTCCGACTTCTATACTGTCGTATTTGACACGTCTTACGTGTCACTGCTTACCGACTAGTATCCCAGGCTCTGCCCAACAATTCCTTGTCCATGGGAACGTCGCGTGTATGTCCTCAGAGGTGTTCCGTGTAGGTATTGTTATCCTTTAGAACAAGTGAGAGAAGAAAATCGGACCGAGCAAACTGCCAAAGAAATTGAACAGGACCAGATTTATGTATAAATATAAAAGTTATGGTAACGTTGTGCTGGTTGAAAGCAATGGAATGACCGAATATCTTATACATCATATCCGTCGTTTTATTTGCAAGCACGAAACCCGGTACTTGCTGAATGTGAGAGAAAAATGCTGTCCGAAGTGGCCTAGCGTACCCAAAAGTTGTCCTGTGTAGGCACCGTGAGTATCAGGCGTTGTTAACCGGTACCTGAGTTAAGGGAACCAGAACATAGTGAGTGGTTTAATTTGTGCTTAAGATATAGGTTGAGCGATCGGTATATTTTGCCAGAGCTTATCGTTCAAATATGCAGGAGAGCCAGTGGAGTTACTACGCCGGGTTTGGGGCCCATGAAAATACTAAGGCAACAGGTTCAGTAATGGGCTGCTAGAGAAACAGCTGATTGAGGGAGTGAGACGGTGTGTCAAACTTGGGACGAGCAGGGGATATATAGACTATAGCTGTAGCGAGAATACCGTTGCAAAGCCAGTTGTAAAGGGACCTGGAGTAGCAGAAAAACATAGGGACTTCTGCAGCGCGGCAAGCAAGTCAAATAGACGACAAGAAAGAACGACACTGGGAGCCGGGTTAATTATGAGGAAGAAACAGCCCGCTGATAGGCCTTCAAGGATAACAGCAGGAGCGAGAAGGGCTTGCATACTACGGCTTAACGAGAAAATGGTTGTAGAGCCAGCGCTGAAAGGGACCAGGAATATTCGTAGTGCGAGCAACAGTCCCAAAAGATGCTACGTGTGACACTCTGAGGTGGACATCCACGGTGTAATGTTGAAGTCAGATTGACTGCTAGCTGTAACTCACTAATTAGTAAATGGCTGGCATCCTGGTTAAGCAATATACAGGAGCGGCACGTTTCCTTAGGCTCGGCGTAGACTGATAGGTGTAAAGTGTTGAATACATGAGAGAGAACAGACAGCAATATTTGCAACAGCTGTAGAGAGAAAACGACAGCAGCGTCGGCTCCGGAAGTGAACAAGGGTAAGGGAATAAGACAGATAGCACCGCCAAGCTCTAAATGTTTCACCCGAAGATTTGCGATATTGATCAGAGGATTTGCCGAACAATTATATGGTGAAGTACGGTTAAACAGGGGAGTGTATGAGATCCGAAAAAGTTCGTGCTCATACTCTGGTGCTGGTTGAATAAGAAGGACAGCAGTCCGGTAGGCGGAGATGTGAACATTACAAAAATTATGGCAGCCGATGCGCAAAAGAAGAGAGGCCTTGGTTTGGGACCTATATGCATTTAGAGCCTCAGAGACCAGGCTGGTCCAAAAGGCTTAATAATGAGAGGCACCAGGGCAAAGAGAATCTAGCGGGGCCATGGATTTTGCGCTGATTTTAGTGGTACCTACACTACCATTGAACAGTTGTGGTATGGACCAAAATGGATGCTAAACCAGAGAGAGACGCTAATGAGAGCTGAGAAGCACGATAGCGGAGTCAGGCTGCAAGACCCAATCAGGGACCGGAAATTTCAGTTTCGGTAAGCGGGACCAAGCACACAAATAATGAATCAGACGGAGACGAGTATCATGACGCTGTTACTTATAACAACGCGGACCTTAGTCGATGGCAGCCGATGCGCAAAAGAAGAAAGGCCTTGGTCTGGGACCTATAAACATTTGGAACCTCAGAGACCAGACTGGTGAAAAAGGTTTAAGAATGTGTCATGTTCATGTTAAATGTGCAACTAAATGTCGGGGAATGTATAAGAAATGGTGCAAGTTAGCCATGAACATTGGAACTGAGAGGTCATACATGCCCGTAGAAGTGCGTGTGTTTATTTATGTTTCCAGTTTACCTTTGTGCCAATACAACCTTCATCGACCGCGTGGATAGTAAGAGAAGGGTTGAAAGACGTCCGAGGTTGACGTGTGGTTGGCTGGTTGGGTAATCATGGGGCCGTGCCTTTCGTTAGAGACGAGTCACAACCGCGTCTTCGCAGTGCTGTTAAACAGACCTCAGTGGCTTTTTAATAGGGAGAACGCTTGCCAGCCGAAAACCCACCATGTCCTGGAGCACTGTCGCTAAACATTTGCTGGCAGAGGGTAGTCCCGAACCACGAGGTTGGTGTCACGAGGAAGTCATGGGTTCGTTGTTGATGGTGCAGCCTGCGATTGCTGACAAGCCATAAGCGAGCGATTGGGCACTTGACAGACGGGACCAAGGGTTAAGCAGTTATGGAGCGATTCAGGGATGTTGTGGTAATCATTTTTTGATTGCATTTTTGTAGACATGCCTTGGCTGATCCACTCCTCTGGATAAGGATATCCAGTCTAGTGATGTTAGACCACGATGGGAGTGATTGCGTTGGTGATCTGATATGATCCACTTTTGTCTTTGTAGGTTTATTCGGTCGCAGACAAACAGGCCAGATGGGAACCTTGATAAGTTTCGGTTGATAACTTCAGGCCTCGGGGAATAGGAGAAAAGTAAAGCAAAGGGGAGAAGCACAGACAACCAAGGAAACCTGTGACAACATGTGGCGTAAATGTAAAAGTCATATAGGTTACAACATGGTAAGTGAAATATGAAGAGCAAAGAAAATATTTGGTATTCTGTGTTCTGCGACCATCTAAAGTATCTATGCGAGCAAAGGCTGCTTAATAATTAGAATCCGGAATAAGAAGTTAATGTGGGCAAAGAGACGGTGGTAAACGAATGAAGAAAGGGAAACTAAATAGAAAAGCCTGGAAACAGGATGAATGTATGGGTACTAGTTGCTCTGAAATTAAGTTTCAAGACGGTTGGTGTCTATGGCAAGGAGTACGAAACACCGACAAGTTACCACATCAAACTAAAGGCGCAAAACTGATGCAAACGGCGTTTTGAAACGCAAAGTCAGCAAGGGCATTCTAGGAAGGAGCGCCAGAAAGTAGCAAGGGAAATGAGAGGTGTGATGTAGCTAGGAACAGAGCCGCGCTTAGAGCCCAATAGTTTCAGAGAAATAACAAGATAATAAAAGCAGGTCATACCGAGTTAATCCGGGGTCAGGTTATAGTTAGAAAAACAAACATTTCCACGGAAAATCTAGTTTAGACCAGGCTTTTAAGCCCTAATGTAATAAGCGGGGTAAGGAAACAGCAAAGACACGTGAGGCAATGCGTGATGAACGCCTGGCAGACAGAAAGCAAGCCACGTGAAGTGAGAGTAGGATAAACGTATCATAGCATTAAATGGCTTCAGGGTAACAACTGGGGAGCAACAGCAATCAATGCAGGAGAAGGTAAAAGGATCAGTGGAAGTGCAAAACCTGAGTTAGTAAACCACAGTCGCCCAGACGCTGCAAGAAAACGGGCAAGACAGCTTAGAGGAAACTGGATTAGGCTGAAAGAAGAGAGTAATCAGCCAAACAGATGTTGGGCGACAAGCAAAGAGGCAAGCAGAGTTATTGGACACAAAATCTGAGACAAAGTTTAGGAAATGCTCCATACCGAGATCATGGAAATGAAAGGTGTGATTAACCGGCCGTTACTGAGCTAATCTCAAGCGGCATGCACATATTCATAGGGTCAGGGTGAGGCTGGATCAAAAACAGAGTAACTGTGCAGGTTAACGTAGACTCACGGTGATATGGCTATGAAGATTAGTGTACAATAGCCGTGGCCTGGTCAAACTTAGAATAAATACCACGAGTGCATCTGTTTTGAACCATGCCTTTTAGCCTCAATGGTCTAAGCGAGTTAAGGAAACAGCAAAGACAGATGAGGCAGTGCGGGACGACAAAAGCACGTACACTTTGCAACCATGATTAAGCTGATAGTGCATTTTGAATGTGCTATAGGATAAATAGCTGTATGGGTAGGTCAATAAAGTCTGCATAGAGACAGGAGCGTTGCACCGGTAAGTAATCCACGAAGTATCAGTTTGGTATGAGGCAAACCTTGCGCTGAGGGAGAGGAAAGAAAGTTAGAAGACTGGCGTTGATTGGATAGTGAAGAAACGGCACGTAACCAGCCTAATAGGATAGGCCGCGCAAAAGAAATGTAAAAATAATAGTTTGCCGCGAGAGAGATCTAAAGGGCAATTGTTGGAAAGGCAGCGCAAAGCTTGCATGCGGATATTCCAAGGGACTAAAGGTTACAGAGTAAAGGACTGGCTCCTAACAAGCTCTGGATAATCGCAGATGCATTTAGACTACGTCCACTAGCTGCTTCCAAACAGAGGTGCCGGATTTAAGAAGCTCGACAAATGATGGCGCTAGGAAAATCTAGCAGTGGCCAGATGTACCCATTCCAA